CTAATCAGCATATTAGAATGATTTCTAAAGGATCATGTGCCACTTTATACTGGAGTAATGGCTGAAGGAAATTCAGCTTTGCATCACAGAAATAAATTATATTTTAAAGTATATTAAAATAGAAACCATTAATTTATATTGTAATAATGTTTAGCAAGATTACAGTTTTCTTTTCTGTATTTTTAATTAAATGCAGCTTTGATGAGCATAAGAGACTTCTTTAAAAAAAAGTCTTACTGATCCCAAACATTTGAGCTGTAGTGTGTGTGTGTATGTATGTATATATATATGTGTGTGTGTGTGTGTGTGTTCTTTTCTAGTATAATAAGAGATTTGAGAATTGATCTTTTTTTCAGTCCTTGTTAGTTTTGATTTGTATAGTATTTTCATAGCTAAGAGAATATTAAAGCTAATTTTGATGTATAATTTTTCTTCATCTTTCAGTGGAACAGGAGTCTATTACCAAGCAATGCCTGCGGTGGGACCCGATGGGAAAAATGTCATGAAGTTGATTCCTGTCCAGAAAGTAAACGGACAGTTTTATCAGACACCTTTTAGTACAGAAAGAGACAGAGTGGATCTACAACTGAAAGCCTGTGCAAAACCTGTTCATCCACCTACTGCCTCTTCATCTCAAACACAGACTCGGCTTCCCTCCCTTCAGCCCATAGCAGATGGACGGTATGTCCTGAAAACCCTGCCGCAGGTCAGAACTGTGTCTAACGCTGTCAAAACTCAGCACAGTGGAACTAGTAACCTCATTATTCACAATCCAAAGTTAGTGCATGTTCCTCTTTCAACACACACTGTTTCCCAGTATTCACTCCAGTTACCTCCTCAGCTCAAGGGACAGGTCATGGCGGCGGTCCAAACTTTGCCTGTTACCATCAAGTCACCTGTTCTCCCAAACGGTCATTTCCTGCAGATCCCTCCAAATGCTAAAGTTCGGACTCTGCCAGCCTCTGCGCTCCCACAGTCCATCAAATGCCGGATAATGAACTCTGTGAGTAACACCCCTAACCTCGAAAAGGGTCCACCAACTGTTGTGCTTGTTTCCCCTGTGAACTCTGTAAAGCTAAATTCTGACCAGCACGTGGTTTCGGTTACAAAGCCAAGTCAAATAGAGAAGACCCTGTTTCAAAATCCCCCTGCAAATTTGCAAACACCTGTTTGTGTTCCTAAAACAAATGAAGAAGTGAACACTCCCATTAAATGGGTCGTCCACGAGGGAACAGGTGCATCCGCTCCTTGCCTTGTACCTGTAACGACATCGAATGTCAGCTCTGACACCATAAAAGCAGTCAAGCATGTCAACTCAGTCGGGACAGTAAATGAAATCGCACCCAGCAAACCCACACCTCCTCAGACCAGCCAAGAAAATATCACCCCAGGCAAAGACAATGCCCTGGTCATGTGCAATGGGAAGGTCTATTTTGTGGCAAAGAGAAATTCGGAGATTGCCAAGGATGTGATGATCAGTGAAGGTGGTAAGAGTGGGGTTGTCAGTACCTCTCCTGCCCTGCCTGCCAGCTCCGCTCTGGGGTCAAACTCTCCTAAGCAAGACCCAAAAATAAATGTAAGTGAAATCATTGATCTCTGTGATGATGAGGAGGAGACGTCCACGTGTCTGGGAGGTGCCCCGGGAAATTTGCCCACACCGAGTCAAACAGAGGTGGATGAGAGCGATGAAGACTCTAATGTAATATTTGTGTCATATATTCCACCCAAGTCAGAGACTCATGCTGGTGATAAAGTGGAGAAAGCTGCCTCTCAGAACAAATGTGAGGAAGTTCAACACACAGAGATAAACGCAAAGTCTGTCTCTCAGAACGAAGGGGAAAAACTGGCACATGCGGAAATGGAAAAAGATGGTGGTCCGAATAATCCTTCGACCAAAACGGGTGATGAGATGATGGATGAGCAGGTCGAGGGAAATAAAAGAGCTGAAAGGATCTTGTGCTGCCTTTCTGAAAATGTGAATATGGAGGCAGATAAAGACTTGGAGGGTGGAAGTCAAGATGATGCAGCTGTTGCTGAAACTGTCAGCATTTTGGAACCACCCCAGAATGTCTGTATTCAAGCCACTGATAATACTGAAAAGGTAATATACCACAATTAACCATGTTCTATGTGAGCTGTAATGAAATAACAACTTTCACTAGGCTGATATTTAATGCATTCTTCTCTCTTCGGTCACAGGCCTTTGAAAAGAGTCAACCCAAGAGTGACTGTCAGCTAAGAAAAGAATTTAGCATCGCCTCTGATGTACAGATTTGCTTGCAAAGAACAAAGCTGACTGTGAAGCCAGATCAACTGACAAAGAGACTTGTCATAAACAAACGCACATTAGATGGCCTTCGTAAAGTGATCCAGGAGTCCAAGTTGCAGTCAAAAATACAGCAAATGATGAAGGCAAGTTATATATATTCATGCATCCAAATTGTGTTGTAAATAATGTACAGTGCATGTACATATTTCCTACAGCAGCGTTTATCAGACTGGAGCTGCAGCCCACTGTGTATTACAGAAGATATTATTTTAATATATTTCTAAATTAGTGTTGTTGTTGTTAACTAAAACTATTAAAGATGGTTTTAGTAATTGTAAAACTGAATTAAATTAAAATAAGAAGATTAGATGGAAAATCTAAAAAAAATAGAAATGCTGCCTATAGCTAGCTGAAAATAAGTTAAAATGATTAAAACTAAAATAAAAATAAAGCTAAACAGACATGTTAAAAAACTAATAATGACAAAAACATAAAATACAATTTCTGAAATGGAAGCTCAAATTAAAATGAAAACTGGAAATATCAAAATAAAAGCTAATTCAAACATTTTTAAAGACGGCTCTAGCTTCTGTGTCCTTGGAAAATAAACTTTCCTAATTTAATTGATGGACGAAGCCATTAAAAAAAAAAGACAACAAAACAAAGATTCTCTCATGTCAACCATTTTTTCACTTGTTTTGGAAGAGATGTGAATGTGGGAGTAACGGCATTGATTTATTTCATGCCAATTTGTTCAATTGCTAGGTTCCCTACACAAAAATGGAGGAGGATGAAGGCCTGAAGGTCAAAAGACAAAAGCAGGAACAGGATGGGAGTCAAGATATTCCCTCTCTAAACTCCACACACATTTCACCTGCCTCTAAATCTTCAGTTGTTCCCATGGAAAACAGTTTGGCTTGTCAAGAAGAGGTTTGTTCACCAACAGAATCTACAGCCGATAAGGTTCATATGCAATCTGAATTGCCAGAAGATTGTACTGGTAGCACATGCTGTCTTACTCCCTCATCCCAACAAAAAGCAAAACGGACTTCTAGTCATCTTTTATTACCTTCCTTTTCAAGGAAGACCCCACTGCGCTCTATAAAGGTTAAGGTGTGCACGGCCTGTCCTTGTGGGACTGTTTTAGGGGCTGCAGAAGCCACTTCATCCCTCCATTCACAAGACCGACTGAATCCATGTACTGTTGTTGAGTCACACAAAGGGACAAGAAGAAGCTGCTTGAATAAAACCCCAGGAGAGAGTCACCAATCTCAGAAACTTCAACCACAAAATAAAGATCTTAAGAAAGCAGGCAAGAAACGGTCATCAGGAAATCCACGTAAAAACAAAGCTCTGTTAGAAAGCTCTACTAGTGACACGTCACACAACATCTCCTCACCAGTGAATGTGTGTTCAAGTGCTCCCTCTTCATCCAGTTTGCAGGACTGCAACAACCAGATTGAACTGTCCTCAGTCAGAACAGAATGTGGTAACATGACAAGCAGCAACACAGATGCTGACACATCACAGCAAGACACCAGCCAGGTGCAAACAGCATCAGAAAACCCCAGCATGTCATTCTCTAAGAAACAGCAAGGTCACAAAATAGACATATTTCCAACACAGTCACTGTACACGTTGGAGACGCTGGATGCGGAGGAGATAAAACGGCGTGAGAGAATCAAACGCTTGAAGGATCTCCTGAAGGAGAAGGAGGCTGCGCTGGAGCAGATGCAAAGAAGCATGAACATTTAGTCTCTTACTGTTTGAAAGACTTCAAAGACTGTACACTGCATGACACTGAATATGAATGGGAATACCACCAATTAATGTATAAGAAAAAAATGTATATAGTTTGTACACCATGTTTATTTACTGTTTCCCCCTTTTTAATGTTTACCAGATCTCAGTGTCATGATGTTTTATTCAGCCTTTGCCTTCTTAAGCATTGTGTTGTCTTATTTATAGTTGTTTGCAGTACATTTAAGCAAATTTAGATGTCGTCATATCATTTTCACATCTTTGTATGATTTATGTGCCTTTATCAATACTTTATTGTAGTTAAATTTGTAGTTTAACAGCCTTATTTCATAACATAAATTCAGTAAGTAATTCAATAATTATTCATAATTCATATTCAGTAAATAATTCAATGCACTTTTGGGAAACCTTGTTTGCTGTCGAGCTGAAACTTTTTGAATTCAAGAACCCAGTAAAATTCTACATTGTGAAAGATGAACATACTGGTTCAATTCTATTTTTATAGTCATCCACAACTATTAAACTTTGAAAATTTTGCTTACATTCTTGCTTGTTATTTGCTGAATTACAATTTCTTGCTTTTTCATGCTTCAGATCCCTTAAAGTTGTTTTGGTCAGAATTGTAATAGTTTACTTTTGAAATTCCTAGCCTTTAAATGTATAAACCCATGTTCAGCTCAGCTGTCATGCTGTATCACACTGCTTGTAACAAAAAACATGCTGGAAGTGTTATCAGATTCAAATCATTCCAAATGATTTGAAAATGAACATCAGACACTGGATTTGCCATTAACCTTTTATTTGTATTTATAACTAGGATGCACAGCATGTTTTGTGATGCAACAAATGTTCTGTTGTGTTATTCATATGTAATGGCCATCTTACATTAAAATCAATCGCCCTAAAAGTTACTGAAACCAGTCAGACATGTCGTCTTCAGAGGGATTCTGTTCCACAACTGATTTAACATCCGCTCATTTTGCATTTCAAGTGGCCAGATTGGGGGAATGATTTGGATATGTGTTTAGGCAAGCAAACACAATTTAAGGAGGTTTTATTTAGGGTGATCTGTTTGTGTAATAATAATAATGCCACTGTAGAAATGTGATATTCACGGCCAGCCATGATAATTCAGTGTGCCCAATAACAGAGGGATAAAAACATAACTAAATAAAATAGCTATACTCTTCACAACTTATTCACAGAAATAATGACTGCATATGGCCTTAAAGAAACGAAGCTTTATTTTCAAGCATTTATACTGTTGCTCCAAACAAGATGATGCATTGTAAACTGAATTATTTTAATATTAGTACGATATAATAAAATGCTTGTATTGTAATAGTTATTGTACACTCATCAGTTTCTGCTAATGATCCGATATATATGCTCTAGTCTAACGTTACATACATAATGACATTTTGTGTCAGGAGTGTGCAGTAGACACTCATCAGCAGTTTCTATACTATATTGATTATGCTGCACGAAAAGGCCATAAATATTTCAGACAACAGCCAAAGAAACAATTAAGCTGTCAGTCAATGATGCCAGTGTGGAATAGCAATATGACCACTTCAACACTTCCCGCTTGCTGGCAGTTTAGAATTCTAGGAGTAATCCAGTCATACATGTATAGATCAGTGGTATAGACCTTTTATCAGAATTTCTTTCATATAGATCCATTCAAAAATAACTACAGTTTATATTTGTCAAAAAAGAAATCTAAAATTAAAATGAATTAATGGCATGGTGGTCTCCACAAACTTGCCAGGATTTCAGAATGCGGCTACTCAAAATGATGCTACCGGTCAAGTGCCCTGTGCTGAGGCTCCTGGATAAACGTTGCTTTTTTCTTCTGCCAGATATGAGAAGAAAAAAAAAACACTTTGAATTTGAAATGTGCATTCTTTACAATGTTACAACATATTAAATTATTATTATTATATAATATTATATAAATTATGAGGCCTTTATCAAATCAGGTCAATTAAATTAACCGCACAGGGTCACCAATATATTTAAAATGACAGAAGGCTGCTGCTACTAAAAAAATAGTTCACTTACCATTATTGGCCTTCTGAACTTCAGACATACCTGGTGTTTTTGTTTCTTATCCTGGTTTGCAAACTCTTGTGTTTTTCAGCATGAAGGCACTCTGAATTGGAGAAGTGAACACAGTGATATCCATCAAGTACATCACAGATGGTGTCTCTTACTGTAGTGCATTTACTCTGGATGTAAAGTCTTTGACCTAAAAGAGCACATTTAGAAACCCATTCACACAAAATTACAAAAGGAATACACATGAAATATATAAACATACTTTCATCACATTGTCTGCACGGGAAGCATTGATAAAGACCATTGGGCTCACTCACGAATGTTCCTGGACTGCAGGGTATACATGTTGTACTGAAATCACCAGTGCGGTCAAGGTACACCACTGACCCTGCAAACATCAAATATTAACAAGACACAAGGTGGTGACCAAGCAATTCAAGGATCTCCTGGAAAAATAAAAAAATTATGGTCCCTCGCCCAGGCCCAATTAGACGTCTATATGTTAGTGCCCCTCCTTGTCACAGGGCCTATGACAATACGTGATTATGTTGTTGTTCATAGATATTCATGTGATTTCATAAGTTCTCCTGAGTTGTACAGTTTTAGTTGAAGGTGGAGTGGGAGGTATGTATACATGTGAATGTGCAGGGATTATAGTGGCAGAATTCCCAAAGCATTATTTAATTATTTAATATCCAGCATAATTACATACATAAAGAAATAAATTTTGTCTTCTTGTGGTCAATTACCTGCATCAGCAGTGTGCCACAGATACACCCATCTTAACTATTTTTATAAATCACTTCTCCTGCATAAAAAAAATAGCAGACATGTTGCCCAATTTCATAACTTCTGTTAACTATACTTTTGCGGTATGGTGGAGATGGGAGAACAGGTGGAAAGCTTTTTTTAAAAAAATGTAACTATCATATTTAAACATGTTTGATGAAGAGTTAGTCTACCTCTATTGCACATTGGACAACATTCTCCGCCAAAAGATCTAGATTCATTTGGACCACAAGTACTTCCAACTGAGAGATGATAAAAACCTGTAAAGACACAAAATAAACAGCATCGAACCTGTAAACTCTTAATGGGCCAAATGTTTTCCCGCTCACGGTCAACCACACCATCGTTCACAGGTCAACTTACCTAAGTTAATGCGTAAATAAAAAGAGTCGCCCTCATGTTTGCTCCTTCCACTAAATTAATGGGCTGTTGCGACGTTCTGCTTCTTTTTATTGGCGGTTGGCAAACCAACTTTAGGTGCATTACCGCTTATTGATTAGGACAGCTCAAACATTAGTGCAAACATGTAGAGCTGTTGATAGGGGCAAATTACTCTATGACAAATGTTAGTACATCACAACTATTTGTGCTACATGAAAATGAAAATATTTTGACTTTGTTAGACTTTTCTTATAAAATTCACATTAGATTAGCTAAACTCACATAAGCCAAGAGGTTAATATAACATCAAGTGATTGATCATCAGAATCTTTCAACAGTGATTTCTTAACAGATTTTGTGCCACTAAACCAACCTTAGCTTATCCGGCACACAACACTAGTTTTCTAGGCTGAAATTACACACATTGAATGTTGTAAGTGGATTAATGTTTGCTGTAACTAAAAACTAATGACAAGTAAACATTATGAAAATCACTTCAAGACATTTCAATCTTAGCAGTTCAATGTTGTGACTTTTGTCAGGGATCAGAGGTGAACGAGTCTTTTAATGATATTGCAGTTCCTCGTCAATGTCGAATCTAGAGCTGCTACTACTGTGACTTTGACGTGATGGAGAAGCTTGGGTTCCTCAGGGAATTTATCCCATTGGAAGGTTTCAAACGTAGGTTCAACCACAACAGCAAGCTTGTTTTTTTTAAGCTTCTCCATCACGTCAAAGTCACAGCACACATAGAAGATTGCAGCCCCCAATAGCTCCAATAATAAGTAGATCACTGGAGATCCAGCAGGTGGGATAACTGAGAATTTTAGGAAACAATTATATATTTCTCCTTGTAAACAATATGTATATGTGTGTGTGTGTGTGTGTGTGTATATATATTTATAGGCGATATTTGACTCTTGAGTCAGGGGGGGGCAAGGAAAAAAAAGCAATAAATAAATATATAAAAGCAAAATAATTATTTTCTGGATGTAAACATGAAAACAATGCCTTACGGTATCAACGCATCAAAGCAGTCAATACAACACAGTCAAGAATAACTTAAAGAGGTTACCACCATTTAGTAAACTGTGAACTATCTTTGACTCTTGCTGCTGACTTGAATGACGATGTTTCCCATTTGTCAGTTGATAGCCTTTCATTTTTAACCAGAAATGTGCACGCTGCTTTTCTGATGTTCACTGAAGTTTTCAGTGTCTTTTTCCCATGTCACGTGAAATGTGTCCATTTTGAATTGTTGTTACTAATGGTGAGACACATGAGGAAAAAATAAACAATCATTTGTGGGCAGGGGAGGCGAATTTTTAACGCAGGTGCTAGATCATTGGCAGGTGGAGCTGGGCAATTAGGGTGAATTAGAGTAATCTGGGACATTTTTTGCAATTTTGACTTCTGCGATTTATTTCTATATCTAACACATCAGATCAACATATTTGACTTTTCTGAAATCCCCAAGATTGTAAGAAAGAATGTAGATATTGTTCCCAGAGGAGACATGCCACACCTATTAGTGTTTTTGTGCCCCCCCAAAAAAATTCTGCCTGATTTTGATAATCTGGGACAGGTCACTTTATAATCTGGGACATATGTATTAGGCCTAAAAAAAGCCTATATTCACCATACTTTATGCATGCCAAACACAATATCACCAATTAAAAAAAAAAAACATTAGGAAAAAAATGACAAGTACAGAAACAATAAGAAAATGTATATTCCAATATCAGGAAAAATAATTTCTATCTCTACACAGGATTAACAGGATCTACTGTTAATTCATTTAAATTCATTTAAAACTCTATTAAAATTGTTTAACATTTGTTTAACATTGTATTAACATTTAAGCAACAGCCAGCAACAATTTGATTAACAGATTATTCATTTGGTTATACAAGTTTTCCATTCTATTAAAATTGGGGCTACTCGAGGAACAAACACTCCTTGCAGGTGAGAGACCCTTCATCATCTATCACGCCATTATCTTCTGCACATGTTTCGTGATACCAATGTGTGTGTGTGTGTGTGTTTGTGTACAGAATATTGTCAACTGGCCTGGGCGCACATCCCCCTCCTGCTCAGTGGTTTGAACCGTTGTATATACTAAATTAACTGGGAATTTGGGAAATGAAATTAACGGTTTACTTCATCCTGATACCTTTGCTTGCTATTGGAATACATTTCCCAGATTACATCTCTGTAGCATCTCTCTAGCTAGCTGGTTTAGCTAGCTGCTAGCTACAGTGAACTTATGCTAATGTTATAACCTCCTAACACCCATTTCTCATTATGGCATATATTAGTCCTTGTCATTAGACTTATAAAGTCCCTAAATGCATATTTCCCCCATTTGAAGACTGTCCTAGATTACCAGGGGCAAGTTAGCTCAAATAATAGTGCACCGTTTTGCTACGGTTTCCGGTTTGAACGACATGTTTCCTGGAAACGGTGTGCAACGGGGTTTGAGATACGTTTTCTCTTGTTTGGTGGGTGTGTCAAAAATGTCAGCCCAATCAGCAGCAACATGTATATAAACCACACGGTATTAAAGAGACAGTTGGCACAATGTAATTAACATCAAAATAAATTCACAAGAGCAAGTATATTGTTTGCACATGTTTATTTACATTAAAGGCAAACTAACTGAAATAATAAGAGCATAAGTATAGATCTGGAACTTCTTTAAGTTTGTCTAAATATAATTTAGTAATTAAATTATATTATGTTGCTGCTGATTGGGCTGACATTTTTGACACACCCACCAAACAAGAGAAAACGTATCTCAAACCCCGTTGCACACCGTTTCCAGGAAACATGTCGTTCAAAACGTCATGCACCAGTTTGAGCTTGAACTTGCCCCTGTTGACTACATTTAGTTAGAATAGTAAATAAACACACTGGAGTTTAGGTGTACCAGATTACACAATGTCCCAGATTACCCCTATTCAGCCTAATAATAAATATAACCAAAACAGGTTGTTATTATTTTTTTATATGAATAATAAAATAAATATAAGGAAAACTCGCCCACCCGATTTTGTAATACTCTCTAATTATCAAAAATGTCAGCCCAATCAGCAGCGACATGTATATAAACCACACGGTATTAAAGAGACAGTTGGCACAATGTAATTAACATCAAAATAAATTCACAATTAAAGTCCCTAAATGCATATTTCCCCCATTTGAAGACTGTCCTAGATTACCAGGGGCAAGTTCAAGCTCAAATAATAGTGCACCGTTTTGCTACGGTTTCCGGTTTGAACAAATTTCTATTAAAGGCACGTCCATGTGGAGATGGCAAGTCAGCGTCTGCATTCGGCAACTTCATCTTTGCAGCCGATACTGACTGAGAAAGCACTATAGTTTATTAATAAATAATTAAAATGTCTTTTTCCCCCCCAACACATTCATAATCACTTTGCCGGTGCTTTGAGGCAATTGCGTAATGCGCGAGCTTGAGTGCAGAATTGGCTTTAATACGCCTGTCTATATATTAAAGGATGGTTTAGTATATTATTATATTAATCAACTTAATATAACGATATATATTTATATGGAAAAAACATTTTTCGGGGGCAGGCCTACTTAGCACAAGGATGCGCTCCATTTTTAAAATAAAATGCTATAATGACATTACGAAAAGTGCGACAGCTGCAAATCACGCACGAGTTATGTATAAGCAATGAGTTAAATTTTTGTTTTTTTGTTTTTTTATCAGCTTATTTATTAAATACAATAGGCTACAGCCTGTATATAATTGAAATAAAGTAAAATAAAGTTTACACACTTTTGGTAAAAGTGTCACTCCACAATACAATAGTAAAATATATATGTATAGTATTTTTATGTTACATTAATCAGTGTCTAGCACACCTTCCTAAGGAAAGGATATGGACCAAAAGTTTAATTACTAAATTATATTTAGACAAACTTAAAGAAGTTCCAGATCTATACTTATGCTCTTATTAGATCAGTTAGTTTTCCTTTAATGTAAATAAACATGTGCAAACACCTTACAGTAATGTGAATACAGTAATTATGTGTTATATTCGCGGTTGTTGCTAGAAGGGATACAGCTACAATAAATAACAATAAATAATTTTTTTCTGCCTATTAGATTGTTTTATTATAGTCTACACCTACCCCAACCCTAAACCTACCCTTACAATAATGCAGATACATTAAATATTGTTGTTCAACATGAGCAATATTGATGTGCGCATGCGCAGTAGTACTGACGGGTAGGATAAAATGTCAGGACACAGGTTTGGCCAGGACCAGTTCCAGAATTAAATCAACATATTTTATGTTCCGTCCATTGCCAATCACTGCTATTTCGAGAGTGAATACTGCATAAATATGCGGATGTCATTCCCGAAACTTTGCAGGGCGTATGTGCCCACGTGTGGTTTATATACATGTTGCTGCTGATTGGGCTGACATTTTTGACACACCCACCAAACAAGAGAAAACGTATCTCAAACCCCGTTGCACACCGTTTCCAGGAAACATGTCATTCAAACCGGAAACCGTAGCAAAACGTCATGCACCAGTTTGAGCTTGAACTTACTCCTGTTGACTACATTTAGTTAGAATAGTAAATAAACACACTGGAGTTTAGGTGTACCAGATTACACAATGTCCCAAACTACCCCTATTCACCCTAATAGTAAATATAACCAAAACAGTTTTTTTTATATGAATAATAAAATAAATATAAGGAAAACTCGCCCACCCGATTTTGTAATACTCTCTAATTATGTAGTCCGTATGAAAATTTAATTTCAATTTTTTCTATTAAAGGCACGTCCATGTGAAGATGGCAAGTCAGCGTCTGCGTTCGGCAACTTCATCTTTGCAGCCGA